TTGTAATCTAACTTTCTTCTCCATTTTTTACAATATTTTCCCCTGCTATGGGCTAGTCCAGGTGGGAGTAAATGAATAAACAGACCAGTCTAGACGGGTAAAAGGACATACGGACTAGTCAGAACATAATGCTCTGGAATATCTTGGGCCAGTCTAGACGGGTAAAATGACATACGGACTAGTCAAAATAGATATGGAAGACGTATTAGACTAGACTTGACGGGCAAAGCAGACTTTTTGGACTAGTCATGTCGCCCGTCCTCCCTATTTTTTTGCTCACTTGGGTAAACATCATTCTAGTGAGGAAAGAAAGTGTTCTCTACCATTCTACATTTTTCAAATGTACATACGTGTACATACATATATATTAAATATAATTGAAAAATTGCGTTTTTTGTATTTGTGTCTCTTTTTAAAAGTAATATATTTGCTTGACATCAGAGAAAAGAAGTTGTATTTTGATGTGATAAAAGTTTTTTGTAGAGAACACAACAACCTCTAACATCTTCCTAGCATTGAAAGCCTGAAAATAGATAAAAAACAATATCAGCTTTACGAGTAAGAAAAATCAAATTCATAATGGGTGCTTTTGGCATCGGAACACATGTTGGCATTGATTGGGAGCATTTTCAAGTGATAGAGCTACGATGCGATTCGATGAAGTGTTATGTTTATCTCAGTACACAATAAAACTCACCTTAAGAAGCTCTGGAAGAGTTTTCGACACGTCAGTTCTATCCTTGCTAGTTTAGAGATTACGGAACCAAATAGTTTAACTATCGATTCGAATTTAAAACTAAACAAAAGAGACTATTGGTTTTCTATGTTTTATTTGCAATCTACAATTTTGATGAGAATTTAGGCGTAGAACTTCGATGAGTCAAAACCTAGAATCACATAGCGAAAGTACTAGTGAAATAATTTCACAATTGAAAACAATAATTCTAAAGATTTGGATATCCAGTTATTGTAAAGAAAAGTGCTTCAAACAGACAATAATAATGAAAACAAGGAACTATTTATTATTCTACTAAGATAAGATCCTTTAGTTGTCTAATTAAAATACATCGTAGACTGTTTTAGCTTATCTATATTTAGGTTAACACATTACGGTGTGACTATAAATGCTGATAATGAAAAATTAAAAATGTGTTTGACAATAGCCATGGTGTACGTGACTGTATCACATGCTTTCTCTAGTCTAGACAAGAAATTATACGGCGACCATATTTTTACATTTGGGCAATGCTTGTCGTTGCAACAGCCATACTTACTGTGACTACAACATCGCTTGTTGTTGAACGTAATCAAACAACTACAACAACTACTGCATTTGGCATATGCCAAAAAATAAAACAACAGCTTATATAGTTTCTTCATCTTAAAACAAAAGTTGAAAATAAAATCAATATCATGAGGGTGTGGATCATGCGTTAATTATCATCGAGTACACCCACACACCCACACCCTCAAGATAGCAAGCCATTAGAAATTAATTAAATTCTTCACGTATGACTTAATCAGCAAATTCAAGTTAACGTAGATTAGGATCCATTCTAAATCAAATTCATAGACCATGACAATGGCAGGAAAAATCTTAAATCTGATCTGAGATTCATACTAGATTACATGAGTGTCCTGGATGTACTCGATTTCGATATTTTATAACACAAGGAACGCCGAAGTATATACAGATTTGAAACAACTATAGCGTATACTAGATCTTTACAGAATTTACTTTTCCCCACACAACAACCTTGTTATTACTGTCGGCCAGTCGATGTATGGTTGTAGAGATGATTCCTAATACTTCACTGCTTACAACAACAACAACAATACCTATTCGCGGCTCAAGTACTAAAGATAAAAGTTCAAACATCATTTCATTGTTCACAACATACATGCCACTTTCCGCCGCTTCACTGACAACGACACCAGCTAAAGAACTTTTCACAGATGAATGAAATACGAACATCGCTTTAACTGTTGTACCAGTGACTACGGTGACTACCGTCACTTCATCTAAAACAGTTGGTGCAAATTAAACAGCTAACACAGTGACGGTAACGACAACTGAAACATTGATTGTGACTTCAATGCTCGAAGTGACTACATCGATGATGTCACAGTCATCAACAATGGGGATAGGAATCTCAACAAAAGCATCAATCGCAAGCATCATACCAACTTCAATCCCAATTTCTCCGGCAGTTATCATAAATGTGTCGGAAACAACTGCTGTGAACTCAGTAGCTGCCACAACGGTGGTCATGACAACTGTTGTTGTGGCTTTAACATCAATTCCTGCGCTTACTCCTTCTACTGTACCACAGGTAGATACAACGATTAAAGAGATCCGAACATGTCGTTGTACACTACTGGAGCAGTGGCGATGAATTCAATGCCTAAGGAAGCCCCGTCGACGATGCCGCAAATATCAGAAGTTATGCCGTTTGAGACCACCAGCATACACCCAACAACAATAAGCACAGTTGTTGCTTTGTCGACGATGGAATCCACGAAAGTGAACACTGTAGTGTCAACTGTGTTAATGAGTGAATTGAAATCAAACACAATGCGAACCACTAACAGAGATGTCGATTATACAACAGTAAATGAAGTAGGAACCAGTTAATATGTCAATCCAATGACAACAAGAGAGGTGACAATTGGGAATGCAGTTACCAGTAATGCCCGTTGCTCCTTGACACAGTCAGGTTTGCAAATATTTTCTTGAAGATATTATGCTTTTCGATAGCATCAGCATACGTACTCTGAAAGAAAAAAAGGAGTTCTGCAGAACCCTTTTATGGTTCTGTAGCTCATGCGGAACCATTTCAAATTCTGTATGACAGGACGAAACTATCAATAGTTCTGCCCAACAGTACTGAACTTTTGAAGGTTTCGGGAAAAGATTCAAAGCCATAAATAGTTCTGTGTTGAAGAATACTGAACCGACAGGGTTCTGCACAATGACACTGAATCTATTAAGATTCGGTGAAAAAATAGCGAATCATAAAATGTTCTCTAGTCAAAAGTACGGAACCCGACAGGTTCTGTCCCATGATGCTCAACTTTGCAAGGTTCGCCAAAAGAATCCTGAACCATAAAATGTTCAGTGTGCAATAATACTGAATCAGATATAGTTCTGGGTAAAGATGCGGAACCATCAAATATTTTCTATCCAAAAGGGGAACTCAAAAGGTTCTGTTCCATGATAGTGAACCGTTTAAGGTTCAGCAGAAAATTGTTGAACCATAAAAGGTTCTGTTTCTGCAACCGAAGAAGTTTTGTACAATAAGACTGAACCTTGAAAGGTTCTGTCAAAAAATGATCTATTCTAAAGACAAATTCTCTATCCAAAAATACTGAAGTGGAAAATATTTTCTCATTTCTGCTCCATTCTTTAGAGTTTCACAGCTGAAACGTGCTGCCATAAAAGGCTTTGAGAGACAATGTATGATGCAAGAGACATTTATTATTAAGTCTTTTATCAAAATGTCGGCAGGAAATATTTTTTCAAATGTAATTTAAGGTACATTCACTACAACTATTTTATTGCATACTTTCTTCTTTTTTTACTCCATGATACGTTATTGTGCTCTGATGTTCGACTTTTTCATCGGCCGAGAATGCTTTTTGCACTTAAACCGTTGAGATGGGTGAATTTTCTTTTCTTCTCAAGTAACTTTACTTTTGTTTTTACATTTTCACCTGTTAGTCATTCCCGGGAAAATATTGACACAACTCACCATAGTTTCCTCAACGCCTAGATAATATATGCTAAATCTGGTAAATAACTATAAAGGCAAATAATGCTATCATCCATATTTAGTAATCCAACTGCTTTGAGATAAATTACGACTATCTTCACAATTCGACGACTCTAATGAAGCTCCAATAATATTTTTAAGTATCGCATGCATCGGCTATATGAGAATACATCCTATTCCGCAATGTTGAACATTCCGGAATTCAGTGCACCCACACTTATGGCAACACCCGCACCATGCAATTCCGGTACGGAATTCCGGGAATTACGTCGAACAGAAATTGAACGGAATTACACAGAATTCCGTGTGATTCCTAGGAATTCCCAGTGACTCCGCTTTCACCTAATTCAGAAATTGGACTGAATTCCGTAGAATTCCGGGAATCGGACGAACTAATTTCGGAGTCGGACAGTGTTCATATTTGACCTAATTCCAGAATCGACGGAACTGGTTCCGAAATGTTCAACATTGCGGAATAGGATGACTGCTCACAAATGCCAGCTCTAGGGCCTACTAACGGATCCGACGGAAAAAAACATTTTCTTAATCACTAATGAATATAACCTTACCTTGAAAATTTCAGATGTGGCGCCCTTTGAGGGGCAGTGTAGTGAACTCTCCCGAGCTCCATTTCCACAAAGTGTCTTTGTAGAGTTGTTATATTATGTATGTGATATAACTGAAAATTTGGCAGAATTTGTGGGGTACGATATCTTGATCGATGTGAAGTCACCACGACGACCAATAGAAGTGCAGCTAAAAACAACGAAATCATTGACGCTCCATGCTTCACCATTCCCCGTCCATAATCTGCCATCATCGATCCAATTCGACAACACAGTTAAAAAAACATAAAAAATATTGTTCCTGCACAGCAAACAAACCAATTCAAATAGCAAGCGCCCAAATGCAACCGAGCCACCCATAAAACGCCTCGTTCGCCACCAGACAACGAACGATGAGGGAAAAAATGCCCCAAAAGTGCAAAATCTTCCTAAAGCAAGTGGTATAGCCAAGCCCACCCTGACCACCTCCCTTAGTTTTTCAGGGGCTGAATTACTCATCAATCGACCCAGTTTGACTATGACTATCGACTGCACTGGTAATTCTCTCCTGGAAAACGAAGACTGAGAGAGCAAATGTCCTAAAACTGCAAAGTCTAGCTGACCACACCGATAAAACACCATCTGCGAGCCACCTTTCGTTTCCCAGAAGCGAACAAGCAATGCAGTGGATATCCCTTGTTGAGGGCATCGATTGATGTGTAATTCAGCCCCATAAGAACGAAGGGTGACTGTCAGAGGTCGCCGGATCTCTGGAAACTACAAGATTTCGCAGTTTTTGGGTCTTTTCTCCCTCTTCCTTCGTGGGCCGGGAGAGAACTAGCACTGTAACGTATAACTCTTTTGTGTTTCGTTGGAAATTCACACATGTACATTAGTCCGCATCATCAAAAGGTGCCCACTATCGTAAAATTTGATCGGTTTGTTTGCCGAACCAATGAAATCGCTAGCACGATCGTGCTGATGCTGACAGGTCGTGCTGTGGTAGCGTCCCAGGACAATGATTCCTGAAGCAGTATTCCGTGAATTTCCGGCGAAAACCTGCAAGAAACTCGCTGTTTCCGACCGGAACCCACCGGGAATTGTCCGGAATTCGATGCAGGAATCCGGAAACCGTATCCGACTACCAGTTT